TCAGAGCTAGCCCTGCCCTGGTTTCTTTGTGACAGAAAAGGGAAAGAAATTATTATAACCATCAAAACATCTGAGAAACTTTTAGAGATTTCTTTTCAAAAGTAGGTGGAAACCCAGTTAATATTTATCATTCCCCAGTCCATTTGCAGTTGGGAGAGATCTTTTATACATCAGTATTTCTGTTACTTCAGTTATCAAGATATCATTAATAATGTGTTAGGGTGCTATTGCTGGGTGAGGTTCTAAGAAATACCTGAGTTATACTTGTTATGGTCTTTTTTTTTTTTCCCTCCATGATCCCAAATGAAAAATACCAATAACTCAGAAAATACCAAAGCTAAATAGTTTCTCTGTTCCTTCTTTTGTAAAGTATATGTAATAATTTCTCCTACTCCATAGTGTTGTTCGAAGTTCTGCATGAATTAATACATATAAGGAGTCAAAAGCTAGGTGTCTTTCTTGCCTCCCAGTTTTTTTTTTTTTTTTGGAAGCAATAATGACGTAATGATCACAAACATGGTTTGTGGAGCTAGACTTCCTATATGCAAATTCCCACCCTACACTAGATGGCTGACCTTGGGCAAGTTATTTAAATTTTCTATGCTGAAAAAAGAAAAAAATATATACCTATCAGGGTATTGTGTAGAATAAATTAATTAATGCACATACTTGGAACAGTACCTGGTATACTATAAGTCCTCAAGGACTATTTGCTGTTGATTCATTACCACTACTATTGCTATTCTTCCTTATTTATGGTGTGGCCTTGGCATATGGTTAGGCTGAGTCACATAAAGGTCATCTTTCCATGTGCCAGGAAAACCTAAGAAGCCATCATCCAAATTGGCCAGGATCTGCTTTGCCTGTTTTTTCCTCAATCCAAATCTTTTCTTAAAATTACTTTTTATTGGAGTGTAGTTGCTTTACAACGTTGTGTTAGTTTCTGCATACAGCAGCAATTCAAATCTGACTTCTCAGCTCTTAAACTAATGTCAACCTTCAGTGGGCAGAAGAAACACATCAAGTAAGACTAACACTAAAAATGCTTGCCTCAGTGTCTAGAAAGAGCCTGTCTTGGGCCACTTATAACTGTGGCAACAGCTCAAGACATACTGAATGTAGAGAGAACCCAAAACGACTGTGAACAAGAAAGAAATGTCCACCTAGGAGTGGGACCTGGCCCACTTAACAATCCAACTGAAAAGACATATGGGAAAAAGATGGCTTTGGGGCAGTCTTGATTTTTTTTTCCAGGCTTCTTAGAGAAAGAAGCCTCTAAGAGGCCACACTTAAGCCCTTGCCAGCTTTAGCATGAACAACCAAATGTCTTTGGAATTGAAGTGACCTTACTCAACCTTGTGGAAAAGCATGGCCAAAAATGGAAATCAAAGGGTATGTTTAGACATCCTTTAAAGACCAACTGAGCAAATAGCAACTTGCCTACAGTCATCTCAACAAAACCCATTTCCTAATGAACAAGCCTAATTCATTAAAAGCTGGAACATCAACTTGCTCAAAGAGCGATTCATGGAAAACTGACACACCAGTGTATTACACCAATCAGTTCTAAGGACTGTTTGCTACTACCAAAGGCAAAAAGCCCAGGCAAAGGTAGGACCAGGCAGGACCACTGGAGTCAGCCACAGAAAATGTGGGAAGCTGCCCTCAACTGTCAGTGGCTGCCTTGTGGGATATGAACCCAAAACTTCTAAGTTTTCAAGTGAAAGCTGAAATCTGGATTTTTATGTGACTCATGCTGACATTTGCATTTTGGCAAGTACTTAAAATTAAAACCAAAACCAAAACAAACATGGTGCAGGCCAAACACACCCCATATGCGGCTGGTACTCCCCCCGTGCGTCTGCAGTCTCTGCTGTCCACGCAGGCCTTGTCCACTAAACACTCATACTTCTGGTCTTGTTGGGGCTCAGATTTGTATCCAAGATGCTCCAAGGCTGACTTCTGAATGTGATTTATTTCACTACTGAGTGTGATTTGCTCTCTGCCCAGTTTCTAGATTTCAGCATCGCTTTGGGGTGTTTTTCTAAAACCAAGCTTGAATACATAGCACCACTCATGAAACAAATAATGCCTTTTCTTTAAAAAAGGGCTGTGGGAGTCAGGGAGAGGAGTGGACTTGAAGAGAGTAAGAAATGAAGAGACGGTGAACAGGTCTACTTTAACTAGAAAATTTAACTAGGAAATAGAGTAACAATAAAATAACAATAGCCATTTTGAGTGGAAACAATCAGCATTTTTTCAGATCACGGTGGCAAGAATTAGGCAAGAACCATATGAAGGGATCACTTAAAATTTTGAGTTATAGTTTCCTTCATTTTAAGAGGAAATTGATATAGTATAAAGTGGCTTTGAAATATTAACTTTTATTTTAAAATATTAATTAAATATTTTTGAGAGATGAGGGGTAGCATTATGAATGTCAAGAGATTATGTGATGCTTTATGAGTTAGCCTAAATTCCTTTTGATGTTTAGATCCCTTACAGATTGCTAAGGGAAGTGACTGTCTGCCCTTTTGTTTTGCTATTGACTTTCATATTTCTAGTACAGTGTTTGGCTCAGAGGAGTTTCTTAGTAAATTGAATGCTTTGAATTATTTAAATGAGTCTCCAGTTTCAAACATTTATGACTTAAATATATACATCCATCAACTCTAGAAATTGTGTGTATGCCTTGGGTAGTGAAGAAGGGCATGCTTCAGACTTAGAGGAATACAAAACATACTCTGATTTTAACACCCAAACAGTGTAATCCATAATATGAAATTCTCCCCTCTCTCCATAATATGAAATTCTCCCCTCTCTGCATATCCTTATCTTTTTAAAATATTTAGTTGTGTGTATTATGACAGCAGGTTTCTTCTAGTGTTTTAGTTTCTTGGGCTAGAAGTAATAGCAAATGAAAACAGTCTCTGTGTTTTCCCTGTTGAATCCATATTAAATGGTTTTGGCTGAAAATGCCAGATGCACATTTAAAATAAAGTATTGAGATCATCATAGAGTATTAGGTTTTGACTATGGGAATCTATTTGTAGTTTCCTTCAAAGTGAGGATGCATGGAACAGGGGAGTCCCTTGACATCGGAGGCCTGATGGCTATTACTGGATGAGATTTCTCCCAGCTCCCCATCACCAGCAGCATTTCTCCTTGGTCTGTTGAACTACTGTGCTATCTTCCAGCATCTTGAGATACATCAAGCCAGCAGAGAAGCTCTAGGATGAAAGCTCAGATGTTAACTTGAGTTCAGTTTTCTGGATCCTTTGGTTGGGCAGAGAGGTTTCCGTCTAGCAACAGGACAGCTGTAGACCAATAACTCAGACCACACAGGACCTGTCAAATGGGAAAGGGCTTGAGTAGTGAACAGTGAAATTTCATTCCTAATCATCATAGATCATTCTTCCTCATCAACCTTCCCCCCGAGCCCCGTACGGCTCTTCTTTGAAAGCATTATGCTATCAAGTGAGAAATTCTAGGACATTTTTAAAAGATGGCCTTGAATAATTCCTAGCTTTTTGAAGCTACTAATAATGCAGGAAGTGACTTGTGAGGTCTGGCATAAATACTAACAAATACTAAATGTTATTTGAAGGATCATTTATCTTAGGATTGATCAACAAAAGATGCCATGTGTTCAGAAATTGCCTCATTTTCTCAACTGAATTTCCATCTAAAATGGAGAAATTTCCCAAGTAGTACCAGTTCTTTTGAGTATTACTTAAGGTTCTTTCTCTGGGTTTTTTTTTTTTAGATACATATTTCTATATTGTTTCTGAAGTAATGTGTTTACTACTTCTGTCGTTAGCTACTTATTCATTCATTCATATAACAAATATTTCTAAACATCAATTATATGCAGGGATATGCTGACACAAATTTATGTAAATAGATCAAAAAGAATAAGGGGAAATAAACCCATCTAGCCACATAAATATTAAGTTTTAAAAGTTTAAGCATTATGCAAGAATGTATTCTGCAGAGATTATTTTGGCAAGTAACTATGATTTACTGGCAAAGAACTTTGTTCTTGGTGACATAGCTAAAATATCATTTGCTTTAGTCCTTTTAAGTCCTCTTAAGACAGCTCCGTATAACCTGTCTTAAATTTTTCATTGAATTTTACTTCCTACTTAGCCCAACTTTTTCTTTGCAAAAAAAATTCATCAAAGTATTTTTGGGGGCTTCCCTGGTGACTCAGTGGTAAAGAATCTATCTGCTTGCCAGTGCAGGAGACATAGGTTCAATCCCTGCTCTGGGAAGATTCCTCATGCTCTAGAGCAACTAAGCTCATAAACCACAACTGCTGAGCCTGTGTTCTAGAGCCTGGAAGTCACAACTGCTGAGCCCATGTGCTGAAACTGCTGAAGCCCACGTGCCCCAGAGCCTGCGCTCCACAAGAGAAGTCACAGCAATGAGAAGCCTGCACACCACCACTAGAGAGTAGCCCCACTTGCTGCAACTAGAGAAAAGCTCACACAGCAGTGAAGACCCAGCGCAGCCAAAAATAAAATAAACAAATAAATATAATTTTTTAAAAGTAGAAAACAATCTTAAAAAAAATTTTTTTTGTTGTTTTTAAGATCTATGAAAATTAATGGTAATACAGAGGCCCAGAACAAAATATTCGGTGTTTTGGCTTCTTATTTGATTTACAACTCCTTCATCTCTTAAAATACTTTATAATCTTCTTTTTCTCCAATTTCCAATTGAGACTTTATAAAATTAGTGATTCAAAACATTCTAATTTTGTCTTTTAGAGGAATGTCTTGATATAACTTTAGATCACTGGATTTTCCCTAAGATACAATATGAAAGTATAAGTTCTGCTTAATTAGAAAAGTTGAATTTTAGTTACTTTGAATACTGTCTTTTAAGTATATTCAGAATCATTGTTACTTGTGTTTACATTGTTTAATCTGAAGACATAAATGGTGCCTTTACAAATCTGATAAAGTGTTTGTTGTTCCGTACTCTTTTGCTATTAGGTGAGTTGGACTCTTGGGATCTGCTTATTTGCCTGTCTTCTAGGACAGCTGGTGGAAAACCCTGCATATCAAAGGAAGACATGTGCCAGTTAAATTTACATCAAAAGGTAAACATTCTTTTTCAAAAAGTGAACAGATTTTATCACACCTATAGGTATTTTTTTGAGTTTCCTATGACCATATTTACTTATTTTAAATTTAAGATGTTTTTCCTTTTTATTATTTATCACAGTATAATTGCTTTACAATGTGGTATTAAGATTTCTGCTGTACAACAAAGTGAGTCAGCTATATATCCCTTCTGTTTCTGATTCCCTTCCCGTTTAGGTCACCACCGAGCATTGCACAGAGGTCCCTGTGCTGTTTAGTAGTTATCTATTTTACACACAATAGTGTATTTGTGTCACTCCCAGCTCATCCCACTCTCCCTTTCCCCCTTGGTATCCGTACTTTTGTTCTCCACATCTGTGTCTTTATTTCTGCTTGGCAAATACATTCACCTATACAATTTTCCTAGATTCCACATATGTGTATTAATATCCAATATTTGTTTTTCTCTTTCTGATTTAGTTCAGTGTGTATGGCAGTCTTTAGGTCCATCCATGTCTCTACAAATGACACAATTTCATTCCATTTTAATGGCTGAGTAATATTCCATTGTATTTATGTACCACATCTTTCTCCATTGCTTTGTTGATGGACATTTAGATTGTTTTCATGTTCTGGCTATTGTAAATAGTGCTGTAATAGACCTATGGTTTTTAACACCAATATTTCCTGGTCCATAATGTTGAAAAAAAAATGTCTTGAAAAACTGGAGCCATTGTATCTTTGAAGAAAGTTTCAATGGCCATTCCTTCTACCCTTCCCCATTTTGGGGCTTCCCAGGTGGTACTAGTAGTACTGCCTGCCAATGCAGGAGCTATAAGAGACATGGGTTTGATCCCTGGGTCAGGAAGATTCCCTGGAGGACAGCATGGCAGCTCACTCCAGTATTCTTGCCTGGAAACTCCCATAGACAGTGGAGCCTGACGGGCTACAGTCCATGGGGTCGCAAAGAGTCAGATACAGCTGAAGTGACTTAGGAAGCATGCATGCCTTCAATTTCAACTCCTACCAATCAATATCCAGTTTTACCCAGTAGGATGCAAGACTTGGCCTAAGAAATAAATAGCCTATGGATTTTTGCTTACCCTGGTCACTTGTTTATCCAAGTAGTTAAGATTTTATTTACTAATTCCTTGTTTTGATGTTTCAAACTTAAGCTGAATCACAACAAAATTAATAGTTTTTAAATTAACTTTTAAAGTTGACATCCAATATTTACTACTGTGTATAATCTTTTATAAATACTTTTAGAAAAACTAACAGAAGGCTTACAATATGCTAGTCACTGTGCTGGAAAATTTACATTTTTATGATACCTTTAACAAATCTATGAGAAAAAATGTCCAAGCCAATAGTTGTTTTTCAGTAGTAAAAGAGTACTATAGTAGTTCCCCTGATCATTTGATATTTCTGCAATTGACAGTGGTTATCACCCCTTCCTCCTTCTGACCCCTCCCTTGGAGGAATACATTCTTTTGCTTTTTCTTGTACATCTTTGCATCTTTGGCTATCCTTTCTGTGTTCTTCAGAGCCACCTTTCCTCTCTCCATTCTTTAAATGCCTCTGTTCCCCAATACCACCCCTAAAGTTTCAACTATCATTTGTAATTGATGACTCCCAAATCTACATCTGAAGTTCCAAGCAGTTTCCCAGGCTTTAGGATTTCCTATATAACTACTCTCTGAACATCTCCACTTAAGTGTCGCACAAACACCTCAGATTCAATGAAGAGTGAATGGATTCATTGTTGTCTCTGGTAAATTCACTTCTGGGTTGGCATTTGGAAGCTCTGCAAAACCGCCCTGCTGGTCTAAGTGTGGTTAACCACTCTGTCACTTCCCAAGATAGAAATTAGCCTTCACCTTTGAGCCCTTTTTCTCCCATGTCATCTGCATTCTGTCAATCACGAATACTAAGGAATTTAACTTCTAAATAGTTCTCAAATATCATACCTACTTTCCATACTTACTACCTTTATTCTGATCAGACAGTCACCATGTGTAACCAGGACAGTTGCCCAAATCTCTTCACTGATTTTTCCAAAGAATGTTTTGCCCCTGAAATCCATACTGCTCACGGTTATCAGAGTGAAAAATACAAATTGCTGACTTAAGCTGATTACTCCTGTCATTAAAATCTTGCACAGCTTCCCATTTTAGCTACAGAATGAAGTTGACAACATTTGCTGTGTATATCAGTCAGCCCCCAGCAGGAAACAAATGCCGTACTCAAGAATTTAACTGAAGAAAAACTAATGAAAGAGCTATTTACAGAGCTTTTGGCAGGAAAAGAGAAACAAAAAAGATTTAGAGGCACTCAGCGACCAGCTACATCATAAGGTTTTACCACCCTTGATCTGAAGAAGGGTATGTAGAAGAAATGATATAGCAGAACCTAGTAAGAGCCAGAGACAAGAAAGAAAGATCAGTGGGAAAGGGCTATATATGTCGAAGAATGTAACCATCACCAAATTATAGCCCTACAGAGGGAAGCCAGAAAGATAAGAAAGTATTCACCCTCTCTCTAGTCCTACATTGCAGTCTCTTGCCGCAGCCTCATAGCGAGTACCATTCTAAGTGCTTATGGTAGTTGTTTCTATCCATTCTTTATATATGAAGAGACCAAAGCACAGAGAAGTTAAGAAAACTGCTTAAATCTTCCTTCCTAATAAATGAAACACCTAGGATTCACACTCTGGCAGTCTTACTTTAAATTCTGTGTTCTTAACCATATCACTGTAGAACCTTTCTAAATAAATATTTAGCCACTGTATTTAAACCCTAATCTAATCAATATTCTTAAAGAATACATAAATTCTAAATGATACATGTTAGATAACTGTCACTTTGGAGCATGAATAATTTGAAGTTTTGTGAATCATGACTTATTTATGTAAACATAAATAGTCAAAACAGAAGTTGCTTCAGATTTCTTTGGTATGTGTTAGGACTGTCAGTGACCTTAGAATGAAGGTCACTGGCTCATGTCAGAATTGCTCACCACTTCAGAACTTTGGAATTTAAGTGCTTAATGAAAATTATCTTAAGATCTGTTATAGGTGATGAATGACCAGGAGTTTCTCTGGCCAGGAAGAGACTAAAAAGAACTTAAAACTGTACTGGTGATTCACGTGATGCTAAAAATGAAGTGAGGTCCCCTCTTTGGGATAACACTAAGTGGGGCTCTGTCACACCTCTGGCATGTCGTAGGGTTTTAAGAGCAGGGAGACTCATTGCTAACTCTGAACGTTTGTAGAGTTAGTGGTCCTTGAATCTGGGATGCTGTGTTTAGTCCTTGGAGCACTGAGAACTACTGCAAAGCCTCTTATTTTAAAGCTTGTCAGGACATTTTCAGGTAAATATGATGGAGTGATCATAGCATGTGAGAAACGTGGATGATAACAAGACTTTTTTTTCTTTGATTAGCTAGTTCCCTTCTTGTCATTAATTCTCTTCCTTATGGATAATACCAAACAACTTTCAGAGAAGGTCTGATTTTTGATAAAATAAAAGATGTGAACATCTATACAGATCTAATGAAGAAAAGAACAGTTTCCTAAGATACAACGTGACATGTGATTCACTCTCAATGTTCATGAGAAACCAGAAGAAAAATTTTCCCTGAGTGCTTTTTTACACTTCATGTAAATAGCCCAAATTCAAATGTCTGCTTTCCTTATGAGTTAATGGTATTAATGTGGCTTTAGGTTTTTTTTTTAATAAAACTTTTCTGAATGTTTATAATTAATATTCTACTGTTGCTCTTATTAATGAAATATATCTCAAAATAAGAATGATTTTTTACTTTTGCTTCTGATTTTTACTTTTACATACTTTGCCCAGTATGTAATAGAAACAGTTTAAGTGGCAGATTCCCACAGATTAGGTTTGTAGAAGGTACATTGGGATTGAAATATTTTTAAATGTACATTTCCTTTCTCTCAGTTTGATCTCAGAAATAGTCTATGGCTCAAAGTCTATGGCTTATTATCATTTATTTCATATATATTCAAATCCTTTCAAAGATACAGAAGCTTTTGTGCCAGGAAAAACAGCAGTCTATAAAATGCACATGCACACATATATACATGTATACATAAAGCATCCAAATCCAATACAAGATCAGTATGTATTAGAAGTGACTCTTTGGTTGGTCATGATGTGTCCATGTAGGTTCATCAGTTGTAACCTCTCTCTCGGGGGAGACACTGATGATGGGGGAGGCTGTGTGTGGGTGGGGGAAATGGGCATATGGGAAATCTCTGTACCTTCTCTCCAGTGGTTGCCTTGCCCTTAAAATTGCCCAGCTCAAAATAAATTCTATTGAAAATATTTATTGCAGTATTAAGCCAGAGGAGCTCATTGTATACAAGTCAGCTAATCCCAATGAAAACTTCTCTGATTATGTCCCACTTGATAATGAAGCAAATCTTACATATTTTATGATGTACATAAAAATAAGAATAAAAAGCACTAGGATATGGAAGAACATTATTAGGGTTAACTGATACGAAGTTAAAATATGTGTAATAAAGTTGATTTACCACAGCTGTTAAGACCCATAGTGTCGTGTGTGTTTACTTCCTTGTGTTTATTTAGTTTAATTGCTGAGTTTGGTGCTCGGTTCCAGAGTAGAATGGAGGTGATACTTCCGGTGTCACGTGTCGCCTGGGTCATGTCATCTGCTTTGACTCTATTAATTCCAAAGGTGTGCTTTGGAGCAAAGAGCAGGGGGAGCATGTCGTTGGGTGGGGGATGCGAAAGTGAGAGCAATTGCTTCCCTTGGCTTGGCTCTGGCTTTCTGAAGCAAGTGCTTTGTTGACGCTCAGTCAGTTCATCATCCTGACGCAAGATCTCATCTGAAAAGTCATCTCTCTGATCCTGCTCGTGCTCAGTCACTCAGTTGTGTCCACCTGTTTGCCACCGCATAGACTGTAGCCCACCAAGCTCCTCTGTCCATGAGATTTTCCAGGCAAGAATACTAGAGTGGGTTGGCATTTCCTTCTCCAGGGGATCGTCCCGACCCAGGGATCAAACCTGGGTCTCTCGCATCTCCTGCATTGGCAGGAGCATCTCTCTGATAAGACACAGCAACTCCCCTTTGTTTCTGAAATCTGTGTAAGCTGTACTCTGTCTTTGTAGCATCTACACACATTCTTCTGGCTCATTAGTTCAGTTCCTGTAGTTCGTTTTACCAGGGCTCTGCAATTCCTGTTTGTAGTAGTCAGGATGGCATAACAAGGATGTTGTAACAGTAGCACATTTTCTCTGAGCCCTTCAAGAAGTGGGTGGAGGTTTTAAATAGGGACCTGTGTCTGTACACAGCCTTTCCTGCTTCTTAGCTAATGCTGCTTCTCTTTCTTGGCCCTTCTGTCGTTACAGATTCTATTTAGTCAGTAGCAACTGAGTGATTTTTTTTTACCTTAAGTGGAGGAAAATGGTTCAAGTATATGGGCTTTTAAACCTTTTCACAATCGAATTTAGAAGTGTGTTTTGTGTGATAACAATAACAGCATAACACCAGTAAACCTCTATGGTGGACTCCCCAGACCTTTGCAACGCTCTGTCCCCTCCCTCCAGCCTCTCTTAGGAATTCTGAATTGAAAATTTTAGGGTTTTATAAAGGCCCTTATTCTTTTCCTACATTTAGACTCTAAAAGTGATCACTTTTGAATTTGAGAAATGTAGACTTCCTAAAATCTAAAGTGTACTATCCACTTTTCTCAATTCCTGTATTCCCAAGAATGGGTTCTGCTGAAGCCTGGGCTTTATTACAGTGTAGATGTGGTACGTACATGCAATGGAATATTAGTTGGCCATTAAAGAGATTGAAATAATGCTGTTTGCAGCAATGTGGATGGTGGACCTGGAGATGATCATACTAAATGAAGCTGTCAGACAAAGACAAGTATCATATGATATCACTTATATGCAAAATAAAAATTTTTTTTTAAGATAAAATGAACTCATCTACAAAACAGAAACAAATTCACAGACTTACAGATTGAATTATGGTGACCAGAGAGGAAGGATGGGGAGGGGAGGGATAGACTGGGAGTTTGGGGGATTGACATGTACATGCATGCTAAGTCACTTCAGTTGTATCCAACTCTTTGCGTCCCCATGGACTGCCAGACTCCTCTGTCCCTGGGATTCTCCTGGCAGGAATACTGGAGTGGGTTACTGTTTCCTTCTCCAGAGGATCTTCCCAACCCAGGGATTGAACCCATGTCTTTTATGTCCCCTGCATTGGCAGGCGGGCTCTTTACCACTAGCACCACCTGGGAAACCCCATGTATATATGTCTATGTTTAAAACAGATAACCAATATCTGTTTAAAACAGATAACCAAGGACCTACTGTATAGCACAGGGAACTCTGCTCAATATTCTCTAATAACCCAAATGGGAAAAAATTTAAAAAAGAATTAAAAATAAAGTAAAATATCATTCATAACACAGAACCTTGGAAATGTAGAGATTCAGTAACTGGATTGAATCATACTAGTTATTTATCTTTTGCATGCACATACTAAGTTGCTTCAGTCGTGTCTGACTCTTTGCAACCCTATGGAATGCAGCCCGGCAAGCTTGCTGTCCATGGGATTCTTCAGGCAAGAATACTGGAGTGTGTGCCATTTCCTCCTCCAGGAAATCTTCCCAACCCAAGGATGGAACCTGCATCTCATGTCTCCTGCATTAGTAGGCAGGTTCTTTACCACTAGCACCACCTGGGAAGACCTGTCTTTTGTATAGACTAACTTGAATAGGAAAGTTTACATACATGTGAGTTCAGTTCAGTTCAGTTCAGTCGCTCAGTCATGTCCGACTCTTTGTGACCCCATGAACTGCAGCATGCCAGGCCTCGTCCATCACCAACTCCTGGAGTCCACCCAAACCCATGTCCATTGTGTCGATGATGCCATCCAACCATCTCATCCTCTGTCGTCCCCTTCTCCTCCTGCCCTCAATCTTTCCCGGCATCAGGGTCTTTTCAAATGAATCAGCTACATTATTTTTATGTACACTCAGAAATTAAAATGAGACTATATTAGAAATGGTTTTATTAGGAGAAATTAACTTTTTTTTTTATAGAAGAGATTTTCTGCATTAAAAGTTATAGAGGAATAAAAAATACTCAATTGTTGAAAAAAAAAAAGCAGAGCATTAAAAAATTTATGCCTGACCTGAGCTGAAGTTTACAGTTTGCTGAATAAATGGATAGAGTTAACAAGATTGCAAGGATTAGAAAACTTTTAATCGATGAACTGTTTCAAAGCACTTTAAATGAACCATTTTTTAAAAACTACAACTTGTGGTTGAATTGTTGAATTGATCAAAGCTTAGAGCAGAAGTGGTATTTAGAGACCCAAGGCTCTATTTTTCAAATGGAGAAATTGAAAAAGAGAAGTAAGGTGATATGCTCAAGGTTCTGACTGTGTTACCCACCCGAAATGGGACTAAAACCCATGTTTTTGATTCTTTCTCTTTTCTCCAGCTGCAACTGAATTCTTTTTATCCAGTCAGGTCAGCAGGTCTGAAAGAAACTCTTTATACAGTACACTTTTAGGATGGGCTGAATTAATTTGAAAGTAATCAATAGTTGGTCAAAAATGAATCTGATTTTCAAGCTAATTTATACTGAATCTTTCTGTTGGTTTTAATAAGGTGTTACCATATTTGGTGTTCTTTGGGGGATTCAGTTGAGAATAGCTAGTTAATCTGTAAATTCCAAAGAGAAGAATTGTTTGTATTTTTTCTTTATAAATTGAAATATGCATTTGAATTTATGACTACATTTATAAAGCTTCACAAGAGCAAGTTTTTGTTAAAATAGAGTTTTGTGGTGACTGGATTTTATACTTGAAGCAATAAATACCTTTCAGTATGATGTGAAAAGTGGTGCAATGGTAAAGAATCTGCCGGCAGTACAGGAGACATGGGTTCCATCCCTGGAAGATCCCCTGGAGAAGAAAATGGCAACCAGTTCCAGTATTCTTGCCTGTAAAATCCCATGGACAAGGAGCCACCAGTTCATGGGGTCGCAAAGAGTAGGACACACCTGAGCACAGACGTAACATGAAATGAAAAGATCTTCCTAGGTAGTGCTAGTGGTAAGCAACCCATCTACTAATGCAGGAGACATAAGAGATGTGGGTTTGATCCCTGGGGTGTAAAGATTCCCCTGTAGGAGGGCATAGCAACCCACTCCAGTATTCTTGTCTGGAAAATCCCTTGGACAGAGGAGCCTGGCAGGCTACAGTCCATGGAGTTGCAAAGAGTCGGACACGACTAAGCAACTTAGCATGAGTGAAAACTATAAGTGCTAACAGGTTAAGCATTAGCACTAGATGTCTGTGATTCAATATCATGACTTTGAAGTATGTCTGTGTTTTAAAAAATGTTCCTAAATATTTTGAAAATTTCCAAGGGCAGTTTTTATCTTTTATTAACAAATAAGCCACTCTATTATTTTGCATTTGAATGTTGATTTACAGAGATTTGAAGATAGGGAGTGAATGGTGTAGACAGTACTTCATACGTGTACCCTGTGGGCCATTTGTGTTTTCTTTGCTTTAGTGTTTATGAATGCTTAACTCATTAAAACTTTTCCCTTTCCTTTCAGGTAAACATATTACCAGAAATACAGCATCAGCTTTGCAGAAAGGAAGGATTATGTCAGCTCATTAAAAGATTTCCAGGTAATCTTTCATTTGTTTCTTTATGCATAAATCTGTGAGATATATAGGCTTCCTCAGCAGACACCAACCAAGGAGCCCTCAGATCAGCATACTAAGCTCCTTTGTTCATCAATTCCACCTTCACAAATCTTCTAGAATTCACAAGGTTCTGCCAAAGAGAAAGAACTTGATAATAAGGAGTAACACAAAATGTTGAAATTCTTTCTCTTAGTTTTGCCTTCTAAATTTCTAGATAAATATTCTTTTTCTTCCTGTGTATTTGTCTTCAAAATAATTGTTGCTTCATTTTAAAAGCAATTATTATAGTGCTTCTTAATTATATAAAACTTGAGATTTTTTAAAAATATATTTCTTTAAGTGATTCCAATCTTAACAAATTTCTTTCTGCTTCCTGGAGGTCTCTCAATTTGTCTCGACAACTTTAGAAATTTGGGACAAAAATTACCATCTCGCCTCCTTATAGAGTCCCCGGGTGGAAAGAAAACATCAGATTGCACATGAGTCTTCATTGATGTAGTTGTAGCGGACTTGAAAACTCATCAATGAAAGAGTTCCTCAGATTTCTCATTTAAAACACACTTAATGTTTGTCACTTGAAAGTATTACACTTTGTCATTAAAATTTAAATCCACATAGTTTTATTTATGTTTTAAAAATTAATTTGTGTCTGAGTTGAATCAGAAAACTGGTATCTTAACCTAACAGCTTTTCCATGGGGTTTCTGCTTCTACAGCAAGCATGAACCACATTGATATGTCCCACTATGAAGACTACTGTCTTCTATTGTCATTTACCAAAGATTAAAATAGTCACAAATTAGCAATTAAACTTTCAATTTAAGGTACTTGTTTAAAATAAATAATCTATATATAAACTTGGTTATGCAGGTATCATTTTATATGACACTTGTTAACTGACTCCATGATCTCTTTGTTTTGTTTATGTAAACTTTAGTGGGTATTATTTTATAAAAAAATGTTTTTGTGAGATGCAAGTAGACTGATTATTCCCATCAGTACATTATTAATATGTATATAGAAATCCTTTAATTAAGTCAATTTTTAAAACATTTGTTTACATTTTGGACAGAACCTACATACTTTTAAAGTATGTTTTTCTTTGTTGCTGTTTGCATTTCAAAATGACTGATAAGCACTGGAGTTAGCAGAATAGAAGCATGTTAATGAAAGCCTATTTGTAGCCAGATATGAATTACCAGTTTCAAAAAAATTCCCCAAACAACTCTTACCTAAGTTTACATTTTGCTTCTGTAAGATTAAAAAAAAATTTAGTCTACTTCGCTTTAAACATTTCTTATTCTCAAGATCATCTATAAGTTCTAGATATATGTCTTCCTTTCCTCACTCTGTCTAGTTTGTAATTTTCTATGTATCTCTGTGACTAACAAGATAATTTCATGGAATATACAGCCTTTTTAATGGAATTATTTCTCCTGTAATGTTATCTTTCTATAGCTGAAGATAATTTTCTTAGATGTGTAGCTTTAAAAGAATAGGTCTACAGCATTGTTTTTTGGTATAAGCTTTATAAACAATAGCTTATGTTGGAGACGATGACTATGAATATACAGTATACAATATAACATCAATATTAATAAGGTTAAAAAACACATTATTTGTTGTGAATACTGAATATTTAATATTGGATACAGATCAGATAGCATCATGCCTGTACCTAAAAATATTTTTTTTTCTAAAAATATTTTTAAAAGTAGGTACTATTAAAAAGATGGTAAAACTAAACATAATACTATATACTTCAGTCATTTTTATTTAAAACCAAAGTGATCTATGCCATTTTGAGACAGACAAAACACAGATTTTGAAACCAGAGATTTTTACCTCTACCACCTATAAGGTGTGTGAGTTAAATTTGAGTTGTTTTTGGATTTTATTTTTTTTTCTTTAAGCTATAAAGTGAGGATAGTGAGACCCATTTCACAGATTTAATTTAAAAAAATGAAGTATACAGGTATGTCTATGAAAGTAAAAGTGGAAGTTGCTCAGTCGTGTCCAACTCTTTGTGACCCCATGGACTACACAGTCCATAGAATTATGTGTGTGTACTTTTATTTGACAACTAATACATATTTATATACATACTATTAATATACTAACACATAGTGCTCCAAAGTGGTAACTGGGTCATCCTAGATGTGAAAAGTCCAACAACAGACCTTTCAATATTTTTTCTCTTTATGTGATTGCTTATCACTACAATTTTAAATTTCTGCCGAACCTGCGAAGAGTCAGAATTCACCTTCTTCCAAGTTCACAAGTCTGCCTGCCAGTTTCATGGGAGCTGGCAGAAGACAGGAGACTCCTGGGTCAGAGACAAATACCTTTATTATTTATAGCAAGAGAGGCATACAGATTATCAGCATTTGCAGTGGTTCAGCTCCCACAGGGCAAGTGAAGAGGTCTAGGTGGTGACGCTTGTATACTAAGTGGTTTGCATTTCAAGAGCAGAGCTCCTAGCTTAGAGAGTTTGAATGTTCATAAGGTCTGTGAGTGTGCCTGCCCTTTGCCCCAGAAAGACCCATTATTTTTGTTATACTGGGCAAAACCTTCTCTTTGTTCTGGAGAGAGACACCATCTGTATCTTTCAAGGCCATCTGCTGCATAGATATCTTTGAAAAGATAGTTCAGAAGAGATTTTTAGTGCCTCTGTTTGCAAATGATGCAAAAATGTGAAAAATACATGAAGAAGTATCTCATAACGATTTCAGAAAAGAATATCTGACAGGTTCAAGTTCTGAAGTTTAATCAATGTATAATTTGGAGCAAGATTTGAAGCCTGGTTGCACTTCAGTTTTTTTTTTTTTAATCTATAAAAATAAGACATTTGGCAATTATTAATAACTCTGAGATTCCATGATTCCATGATTCCTTTTTCCCATACGGACATGCTGTGCCAGGATTTATCTTAAGCAGTAGGTACCGACACAGATGCTACGAAGGCAGGGCTGATCATCCTGATGGGTCTGAATGGGACCTTGCAGGTGTGGCAGGACAGAGTCTGAGCCAGATGTAGGGGAGAGTTTAAAGACAGCCCGTAAGACTAACACAGTCTGTTCCGTGTCCCAGCTGCACAGAGGGTACCTGCTATTAGACTTGTGACTCACGTGGAAAGGCACAAATCCATGGAGTTTTTACTGGCTAGCCTAAAGGTTTACTTTTATCTTGCCATGTAATGTGTTTGTGGTTGAAGACGAATGCTACATAATTTTTCATTGGCCCAAATTTTTTACTAATGACTTTTGTTGCTTTTTATTGTGCATGCGTGCATGCGTGCTCAGTCATGTCTGACTCTGTGACTCCATGGATCATAGACTTCCAGAGTCCTCTGTCCATGGAATTTTCCAGACAAGAATGCTGGAGTGGGTTGCCATTTCCTACTCTAAGGAATCTTCCCAACCCAGGGATCGAACCCATGTCTCCTGCATCTCCTACATTGACAGGTGGATTCTTTACCACTGCACACCACCTGGGAAATTGCTTTTTATTAAGCTTTTTTTTTTTTATAAAAAGAATTCTTTTCTATGTTGACATTCTTTGTATGTTAACAAACCTGGACTTTTAAACAATATAAATATTTACTACTGAATATAAAATATGTCTTTTAATAACATAATTGAACTTATTTTAAAATATCAACCAATATTAGTTATTTATCTCACATGGAATTGGTGATCGTTTTTAAAATTTTAGGTCTAAAAATTTCTGTCTATCATATGATACCAGTGAAATATTGTCAGGGAATCAAGTAGACTAGCTTGAATTTAAACAAAGCAACATGGAAATTATCAATGCTTAATACCGTTTGAGAATTTTTATTGATTTCATTTTTTCCTTTCCTCTACAGTAATGTTCTCTTTCAAACAAGAATGTGAGTAATGAGGTTCCCAGTATTAAAGAAAATTGGGGACACAGCTCTATGAGGCAATCAGGCAGACTTTCAGAGAAGACCAGAGTTTGCTTCCTCTCCATGCTCTCAAATGCTGACACCCCTCCGTGTGTCCTCTGAATGTGCCTTCATGCTTCTGCCTTTCCACTTCTGTCCCACACGCGATTATATTCTTTGCGCAAAACATTCTTTCCCCAAGTAAAACCCTCACCTCTTTAGTATGACTGACTTCAGCTAGGTGATAGAATAAAGTAAGCTGATGGAACTAATTCAAACTAAATTATACCCTCACCCCAGTCATAAGCCTCTTACATGTATTTGCATTTTTATAAAAGAAGTTTGCAAACCCAATGATTGGTAGAATTTCTGGAAGTGCGTGCAAATTCCTATTCAGTTTACCAGCAAGCCGTTCACTCCCAAAACTTACTGAATCCATCTACTTTCCTCCATCTCTACCATGACCAGTCTTGTCCAAGTCAACGTGCTCTCATACCCTTCCCATTTCTTTTCTTGCTTCTGAATAATCCAGTTCATTATAAACACTAGCCAGAGTGATCTTTCCCCCCCATTTCTTTCAGAAATAAGACAGATTTATTCAGCCTGCTCACTGCAGTCTGTCTAGGGACTAAACAGCTTATGCTCTGACTTGAGCCAGGGCTAGATTTTTTTTTTTTTAATTGAGACCAGAAGTCACACACCCAAGTGTTTATGAGAGCCTAGTATGTGACATAAGAAGTTCATAACAATTCAGAAGCTTGCAAGACCAAATGACCCGCACATTTTCAATATTTGGCTTGTCATCAAATTTATAGACTCACTAATGTAAGTCATTTGGGCTTCAAGAAGAGAAGAGGAGTTAAAAACATAGGAAGATGCAAGGCAGTGCCATGTGACATTGCCAAGATATGCCTTGACAGAGGGGCAATGTTGGGCACTTAAAGCTCCCCCATGTTGCTCAGACCTGTAGAATTCAGTTACCACTAACATTCAGACCCATCCGGCAGTCTGGTCCTTCTTGTCCCACATTTGTGTCCTCACACTTCTCTAAGCTCCTTCCTCTTGCATATTTGCAT